AATGAAGGACTGGTTTAACGCAAATAAGCTCCTCATGAACGAAGACAAAACAGATAAATTGGTTTTTTTCCTGAGAGATTCCAGTAACGTGAATAAAAATGTGGAGAGTGTTCGATTCCTTGGAGTGCACATTGACCCCACTCTAAGATGGGATGACCAAATCAACCAGGTTTCATCAAGGCTTAGCAGGGCACTTTTCGTCCTTCGAAACCTTTCCGAGAATATCTCAGAAAAGGTTATGAAAACATCGTACCATGCTATATTCCACTCTGTATAATGACATATGGAATCTTGGTTTGGGGTCACTCCCCTCTTGTGTCCAGACTTTTTGAGTTACAGAGGCGAGCTATTCGAATCATGGCGGGTCTGAGTTTCAGGGAGGACTGCAGACAAGCATTTAAACATTTCAATATACTCACCTTACCATCTCATTACATACTAGAAAATCTGATGTATGTGAAGGACAATGAGGATGAATTCAGAGTGCAAAGTGGGGTCCACAACTATGATACAAGACAAAAAAACTTGCTCATCCCAGCTTATCATAGGTTGAAAAGGTGTCAAGATGGCCCAGGCTATCTATCCATAAAATTTTTCAATACTCTACCAGGTTCCATAAAGAACTTGGAACGGGATAAATTTAAGAATAAAGTTAAGCAGATTTTGTATCTGAATTGCTTTTACTCATATGATGAATTCGTCACACACAAATTTTAATAATTTTTTCTAATATTTTCTAATATTTTCTGTTTATAATCGAATGTTTTAGTCTAACTTCAAATATACTATGTAATTGGATTGTAGCTCCACTATATTGTGCCTAAATTCAAACTTGCATTGTGCTCATAATTTTGACAAATATTGAAGATTTTAATTTCCTGTTTTTACAAATGTATGCTAACCTAATTACTAAAGTTTCCTACTGTTTTGACGAGTGTAAATACCTATGTATAATGACATGAAATATATTGAGTATTGAGTATTGAGTATTGAGTATTGAGTATCGAGTATTGAGTATTGATCTATAAGTGTTACGAATATGCGATGAGAAATTTATAATTAAAGTTTATGCAAAGTCAGTTGGGGAAACACATCATCGCAAGCAGTGGGTCCCTTTGAAAGTTCAAAGAGTTCGGCAGCGCGGCCCGACATTCGTTTGATGATCTGTTCAACTGACTTTGCATAAACTATACCCATAGATTATCCCAATATAACTGGAATTAATGCAACATGCAACAAGCGTCTACCAATAATTCTGTTGAAATTAACAGTATATGATTCAACGAGCGCGCGCATAATAGCCATTATGCGCAAGTTGAATAATATACTTACTTTATCTACAACTATTCAAATATCGAAGCAACTTTGAGAGTATAGAGATACATCGATAAAAAAAGAGATTCATATTGCAGAATTGAAAATACTTATTGATGTAAACCTCATTGACAAAAATTTGAAACTCATTTCAAGAATTTTCATCGTGATTATTATGACCATGTTGGATCTATTTTTTATTAACAGGAAAAAATCTTTGCAGATATTATATTTGCCGTTTCAGTATGTGAAATGAATCGTATCATTGCGACAGCGTAGCCTCGTGGTTAGAGCGTCAATGTTCTATCCACGTTGGATTACCGGTAGTGGGTTCGAGTCCTACCACGACCGCAGAATTTTTTCTGATGGCCTAAGAAAGTGTTTGAAGATAAGACCCCCGTCATTCCTTGCTCGCACAAGTCTCTTGAAGACTTCTGAGGTTTGCTCGTAATAAGGGGGCAACCGAATGATGGATAAGAACAATTTTAGAACAACAATTCCAGATGATTTATTTAAGAACATGAGTATCTACGTCAAAACGATTGTCAATTATTACAAGAAAACTTAGAAAGAATTAACGAATGGTGTTTTTCTAATGAGTAAGTTATTACTCAATCCAGGAAAGTATGATATCCTCCACTTTGAAATCTTGTGTCATGTTCAACTATATCATTGATAATACTGACGGTAAAACTGCATTTAGCATGCGATGGGTTTTTCTTCGAAAAAATGTTTTGGTACTTACGTATTTTTGTCTGAAAAACACGAATTTGATAATGAAAATGTGAACAAACCATTATTTATTTAGATATTTCACTATAAAGTTACAAATTTCACCTTCTTTTCCGCCTGTCTTCTGGATTGAATTTAAATCAGTTTGCCCTTCTTTTTTCATCATTGGACAATTTATATAAATCACAATAAGACACATTTTTTCTATTATTGAGTCAACTAGAAATATGATTTACTTGTGATTTATCCATATTTAGTGAAAAGAAGGAAGAATATCATTCGAAATAATGGCGTGTGTAATGTCATTCAAAAGCAATCTGTTGACATTTGACATCTCGTATTTGGATTGACTATTAATTAAATGGCCGTCATCTGGTATGCTTGTTCACTAAATATGGAAACTGAAACACGAAAATCATATTTCCTGTCCTGTCAGCTGTCAAGTGTCAAGTCCTATTTCACGTTTACTTTTGGTACTCATGGTAGTCACTGTTGAGAATGAAAAACAGTGAATTTTCATTTTTCGGTGTAATTAAACAGATAATTTCATCGATCTATCACACTTGGGGTCTTGTGGGACTGGAGATATATAGGATGTGACAAATTAAGATGCTTTCACCTTTAGGAATTTTTATGTTCATTATCGCCCAAAACGGTGTTCATGTCCCTGTCTTAACTTTGGATTTACTATCTACTGACATTTAATTGAAACAAATACAGGGTCATCAGAATCCTATACAAATTTAGGCAGCAATTCTCCAATTATTAGATTGAGTAGTAGTTTTAACGAATATTGTATTATTGATATTCACTGTATATCTATATTCACCTTCGAACAGAAAGTTAAAAAAATATCCCTCACCTAAAATTCCAATATTATCATTTCAAACACTTTAACAATCATATATTTACTCGTCTCATTATAAGACGAGCTGTCATGTAAAATATTGTATCAGCGGATACTTTTAAAGCGTGAAGGCTCTGAGTTCGTATGGGAACTCCCACCGAGTCATAGGTTCGAATCCTAGTTAGGCCATGGATGTTTGTGTTTGTATGTATATTTAACCCCGCACAAGTTCTGACTTATGACCAACGAGGTATGCAATGGCAAAAAAAAATTATGCAAAGAATGAAGCGTATTTTCGATGATAAAAACCACAGTTGCATTTTGAAAATACATGTCTAAATTAATCTTTTATTGAAATGAAATTCACTTCCCTAGAAATTTGAAGGTAGGTACTTTAAATCCCTAGGGATTTGAAGAACCACTTTGTTGACGTGTGTGTGTACACACCAACTGGTCATCGATCTTACAAGGGGTCCTTCAGCTCATGTGTTTGCTGTGTAGGGTGTAGGATATATTTTGACTCTATACGCCACCTTAGGAGCAGCGGAGCAGCACTGTTAATTGGAACTCAACAGCGGATCGTGTGGAATTATCTCCGGCTGAGAGCAGGCTACGGAAATTAAAATTTATAACTCGGTTTATGTATGAAAATTCTCTGTTCTGCCATTGATTCAATCTAGAAATCTGTTGATGTTTTGATAACTACTAGTCGAGCGCCTATCACCACTGCGCTATTCCGGAAAAATTATAAGCCAAGGACGGGATAGTGAAAAACAATACATATTAACACAAATATTTATATTTACAAATAGTATGGATTACTACACATGATAAAAATAAAATAACATCAAAAACTTGTTGTTGTAACTATGTAATCGTAATGTAATTTAATCATTACAATGTAATATTTCTTGTTTTATTATTTAAATGCATGACATTGCATTGATTTGAATTTTCAAAACTCGTTGGCGAGCCGCATATACCGGGTGACATGTGACATGACAGGAGATATGTAAGAGCTAGAATTTTTATATTTATATTTATATATATTTTTATTATTAATTTACTTATATGCTAGGACAGGCTGGTTTATTATTTACCAGTATCCTGTACGACCTATGTGTTTTTTTATATATACAAACTGATTATGTATCAAGTGAAAATTAATTAATTTAAAAGCACTTTTACATATATTACATTATAGATTAAGTTAAACTTTGTCCACAAGATTATTCTTATGACAATAAAGTATACTCTCTCTCTCTCTCTCTCTCTCTCTCTCTCTCTCTCTCTCTCTCTCTCTCTCTCTCTCTCTCTCTCTCTCTCTCTCTCTCTCTAATCGATGATGATGCTTTCCTTGAACCCAATGACAATTTTTATCAACCACCTGTTTGATTGGAAGTAGACCCAACTTTTTTTTTCCAAATGGCACCCTGTATATTTCTGATGTTTATCTCATGCGCCTTAAAATTCTCTATTCAACTATGTATCACAATTTGATATTCATTCATTAATTGGCTGTTGAATTGCATTTTATTGAAATACATTGAGTTTTTATCTTAGTTTTCTCAATATCGTGAGTTATTTTCGGATGATTTTTTTAAACCCAATGAAATCATTGGAGATCTTCTGGGACCTATTAGGGTATGGAAAATATTCTGATTATATCGTCTAAGTAATGATCTTTGGATTTCTAAGCCTATCAAGCATCGAAATGTCATTGCATTCGGCCACAGCCAACTTCGTGTAATGCAATTTAACATTCAATTAATGAACGAATATCAAATTGTGATACATACTTGAATAGAGAATTTCAAGGCAAATGAGATAAGCTACACAAATATACAGGGTGCCATTTGAAAAAAAAAGTTGGGTCTACTTCCGATCAAACAGGTAGTTGAAGAAAATTGTCATTGGGTTCAAGGGAAGCGCCATCATCGATAATATAACCCCTGTAGATTTCAAATTCATATGTCTTCAAATAAAAAAAACAACAAGCTGTTACATGTATCCAGTGTCACCCGGTATATCGCGGGCCGCGGTTTGTGCATCCCTGTGCTAGATACTAATGATTTTGAGAAATTTATATAATTATAAATGTACGATATAAAAATTAATCCAATTGGAGTTATCGCTGATGAAATACAATGATTCAATTGTAACAATATGGTAAGATTCAATGACAGAAATTATTAAATTCATCACTAAAAATGGAGATTAGTCCCCTTCGTATTCCGTTCAATCCATTTGTCGAATCTGGTAGACATTTCATCAGTCATATGGTTCTTCCAATCTGCAATTTCCCCATTCCTTATAAAATGAAACCCTTTCTTCTCGAAGAAGTCTGCACCCTTCACATTATCTACCAGGCTTTCACAATTACAAGCTTTATTTTTCCTCATCTTTCCAAAACTAACAAAATCAACAATACTGTTGATATCTTTATCAGCAAGCGACTTCTCCATGAACTCTGCAATTTTTATCACGGTATTCTTCAGATCCATTTTCATCTCTTCATATGTTAAAATCAATACATTTTCATCATTTCTCCTCTTCCAGAAATCTAAATAATGATTAAAAACTCCCCCATATGCCACAGCATCATTCAAGAAAAGTTCACAAAATGTTTCAAATTCAACGTTGAAATTATGTAAGAGTTTACAGTGGTAGTAGTATGACACGCAGAGGTCTTTTGGGTTTCGCATTGTATAAATGATCTGAAACAAAAAAATAGAATAAGTAACTGCTGAATGAGAATGAATCGTTTTCATTTTTAGAATCGAATCGGCCGTTAATTGAAGGAAATCCACATACTTAGTAGGTAATTGTAAAAACTTCCCACGTGATAAGTTCTCCACAAAACTCTCAAATAAATGAAATTGCAGGTATCATAGTGGCCTGAAATGATGTCATAGTGGCCTGAAATGATGTCATATTGACGTTGGTTTATTCGTCATCTTTGTTCCACGACGTCTCTGACCAAAATATGACCTACAAAAATGATAGGGACGTCATGTTTGTAGGTCTTCTTTATGAAATTTGAGTTTGTATAATTCATATATGTTTTTCAACAATCCGCTCACATCTAGTCTTCATAATTTTTGATGAAAATAATGAATACATTATGACTCATATATTATAGAGGACTGAACAGAAGGTGCCACCGACCAAGTCGTCACAATATATGCATATAGCATTGCCAATGAATCTCATCAAAGCTTTGTGATAAATTGTTATATATTTCTAAAAGACCTTACACAGGGCTTTCATTCCAAAACTTACCACCCTGCATATCTTTTGATCTGCAAAGATTACAGTTCTCGGAAAAAACAGGTCGATTTAGATATCGAGGGGGGAGTAAAATGCCAGTATCAATTGAATTCTATGTTCATCTCCTTCACCCCTAGACACCCCTACTTTGAATCTCAAAAGGCACCCCCTACTTTGAAATACATGAAATTGGAAGTCTATCAATAATCGAATCAAATTGGGGAAAACTAAATTATTTTGCATACAGGGTGGGTCACGAGGAACTGAACATACTCCTACCAGGAACAGACGCCCCTGAGGGGAATCCGGCATGGTCATCCATAATGTTTTCTCCTCTTCTACAATAATATACAGAGTGATTCATAGGATAAGGCAAAAAATTATATCTTTTGTCATAACTTTCCAACAATTTCTTTGAATCATTTAATTTTCTGATGAAACATTATACGCACGCGTTTTTATAGACTGACGTATGGAAAATTGAAAAAATTTGAGACCGTACTTGTCGTAAAAGAGGTCAGTAACTAATTTCCAAATTCCACTGTTCCTGCTGAATAATTTGTCAATTCACCTATAGGGTATCATCGAAAGCAATGAGATAAATTGTGATGGAGTACGCGAATGTTGTATAGGTAAACTTTATATAAAATTCATTAAAAAAATATTTGATGTACTTCCTGTTACATTTGAGTTTCACTTTCTGTCAGGAATATTCGGCAGTAAAATACTGTTAAATTGTTATTGGTACCGAGATCTTGTACCAACAGATACTTCAAAATGGTTTGTTCATTACAAGAAAGAATAGAAATTATATTTATTGATGGAGCTGAAAATCGCTGTGCTAGAAGAACGTCTAGAGTTTTTAATGAAAGACATCAGGACAAGAATATTAGTCACCAATCCATTGTGGCTCTAGTAAAAAAATTTGCAGAAACAGGATCCGTTTGCAATAAAAGAACTATCCAACCAAGAGATCTTGCTGAAGCTGCTCAGATCGAAGTGTTGGGCCACTTTGCCATAGATTCGATGAACTCTATCCCCAAAGTGTCGAATACTACAAATATTTCGGTTGGTTCCATACATGAAGTGCTGAAACTGAATGAAGTCTTCCCATATAGAATTCAAATTCACCATCAACTTACAGAAGACGATCATGACCGTAGAATCGAATTTTGTGAGATAATGTCTGAGAAGATTCAACAAGATATGCCAGTTTTCTCAAGCACACCTGTTATTCTGTGTCGGTGATGAATCAACGTTTTATTCGAACGGCTTTGTTAATAAACATAATCGTAGATTCTGGGACAATGAGAATCCACATATATTTCGACAGGACCATACTCAGTTTCCTGAGAAAATAAATGTGTGGGCTGGTATTCTAGGAAGTGAGATAATTGGACCACTCTTCATTGACGACAATTTCAATGGACAATTGTACCTGGATTTATTGAAAAATACAATTGATCCCCTCAGTACACAATCTTTAGAGAGGCAAATCGATGATCATGGAAATATGTTGCTGGACGAAAATAACCTGTTTTTTCAGCAGGATGGAGCACAACCACATTTTTTTCCAGAGGGGAGAGAATGGTTGAATCAACGATTGCCTAGGCAGCGACTAGGCAGTGGATTGGCAGAAGAGGTGCCATAGAATGGTCAGCAAGACCTCCAGATTTGACACCTCTCGACTATTTTCTGTGGGGTCACTTGAAAACAATGATTTATAAGACTCCACCAGGAGATATTGATCAACTCAAAAGAATAATCATTACAGAATGCAGACAAATCAATCGAGAAACGTTCAAAAAGTTCGTGAAGAATTCGGAAATAGAGAATAATGAAGCACATTTTGAGCAATTGCTTTGAATACCACTCTGAAAAATTGCATTTCTTCTTAGACACGATTCGTCAAAATAAATCATTCTAGTTGGTTTTGAAAGGAACTAGTAGGGTATACCATTCTCAGCTGGATGAAGCACCAACGCATTTCGTTCTGATTGACAAATAAGATGTCATTGTTCACTGAAACCATATACATAGTGAACTCTTTGATAGCTGGCAACATCTCATAACTACAGCCCTGGATTTTTTTCAATTCTGTATACGTTAGTCTATTGGTGTTGGAGTGCATGATGTTCCATGAAAAAATGAAATGAATCTACGAAGCTATTTTTCTTCTTCCGTGGGAGCAAACTGACAGGTTTTTGTCCTTTAATGATGGAGCGAACGCTCATTTTCGATGTAGTGAGTAGATAAATGTATTTTCCTTTGGAACTTTCATGTAATATGTTTTTCTCCAAACGGCATAAAAAGTGGCTTTTTCTATGACACTTGACAGGTATCGAATGTGTACTTTCTCTACCTGGGTAAAAAAAGTTTGTTGATGTAGTAATAGTAGTCGGTGGAGTTTGTCGACTCCAAAGATTTCAAATCTCAGCCTCTCGTAGGCTTTGCACTCGCCGAGAAAATGGAGTGACGTTTCTTCGTCTTCCCCACATCTGCGGCAAGTGCGGTTCATCTATTCCCATGATTGTTAGGAGTCTGCCTATAGCCTACTGTGTCCTGTGAGTGGTGTCGCGTCAATTGGACGTGGAAATTGGACGCACGACTATTGGTCGCAGTCAATTGGACGCGGCGACAATTAGACGCGGCGTCAATTAGACGCGGCGTCAATTAGACGCTGCGGCAATTCGACGCGGCGACAATTCGACGCGGCGACAATTGAACGCATGCGTAAATAAAAATAATTTTATAATTCCAATGAAATTCATTGTATAAAATATGAAATACTGATGGGCTTATATCCATAATTATAACAAATACCTATGGCCTCGTTTGACAATTATTTTCCTATCTCATATCGTAATATGAATTTACGATACGAATATAGTACAATATTTTAGGTTAGTTAGATTAGGTTAGGTATTTGTTATATTATAGATATGAGCCCTACATATTCCATGCAATAAATTTCATTGGAATTATAAAATTATTTTTATTTTCGCATGCGCTCAATTGTCGCCGCGTCCAATTGTCGCCGCATCCAATTGTCGCCGCGTTCAATTGTCGCCGCGTCCAATTATCCGCGTCCAATTTTCGTGCGTCCAATTGACCACGTCCAATTGTCGGTAATCCCCTGTGAGTACTTCTATACCCCTATGCTGTATGCAACTTTCTGAGTAATTTGAGTGGAATTGGTTATCAAAATTGACACTGACTTTGAGTGAACACAAAATGATGGAGTTTTCAATGAAAAAATAGGTACACAAAATTGGTTTTATAATATTTGGATGAACTATTTTATTATGAATAATTGTACAAATCTTGTATTTCGTGCAGAATAGTTTATTCAAAATATATGGCTATAAAGCCATCATCAGTGCATACTCGTCAGGTTGACAAAGAATTCTATACAAGATGAATCTGAAAGTGAGGTTTTTTCAACAGGATATATATATCTCACCAAAATAAGTTGTTTGGAAAAAAATTGCTCACATAAAATATGTAAGATACCGGAGGTACAGGTATTTAATGGTTCAAAGAACACTTCAACTTTCAAACATTTCGTTCACATTTTCTCAAAAAATGCAAAAAAGCCGTAACTAGTCCAGCATTATAGATACACGACAGTTGCATTATTTCATCAGGAACACTAATCATAAACCTCTTTTTGCATTTTCAACCATTTAATTACCATTTCAAAGTAAACCAAAAAACTTAAGGAAGGAAATGAAGCACTATGCCAAAAATCTTATTTTGGCGAGATATACCGGGTGTCAACAAATCTATTAGACAAGTCATAACTTCTAGACCATTAGTTGTATCAAAATGAGATTTGGTATAGGTGAATGGTAAGTGCAGAGGAAAGTTTTCACATATTTTTCACTTTCCGGTCCACTTCCAGTTTCACCGGAAATGGCTCCGGTTCTAAATTTTTAAATGGAACACCCTGTATATTGTAACATTTTTGGATTTCTGAGACGATTCTAGATCAGAATGTGACATTTTCGAAAGTTTTCATGCCTACTAGATTTTTTCGGAGTCACTTTTGAGACTACATCTAGGTGGCCATGATCGGAAGTAAACTAATCTAAGGACCTCAGGTGATATCAGAAAATTACAACCGCGAAGTTTTAGTGGCAAGTATGATAGATATAAATAAGACAAGTTGGCAAAATAACATTCTCGTGTCTAACTATTATTTTTCAAATGGCAACCATTTTTTGACAAGCACTTTCCGGAAAAATGATATTTTGACGAATCTAACGATACTAATTCATTTGCGATTGGATTACAAATAAGAACATAAATTAAATATTACTGACGAAAATACTTCATAATGATTTATTTACTTTTGTCAAGTGTGCCGAGGATAGGCATGATGCATAATATTTTGCAGTTATTTCGATCAAGTCTTCTTGGGAGAACAAAACACTCACTTGTAATTTCAAAAGTAACTCCGAAAAATATAAGTAGGCATAAAAACTTTCGAAAATGTCACATTCTGATCTAGAGGTGTTCCAATTAAAAATTCAGAACCGGAGCCATTTCCGGTGAAACCGGAAATAACCAGAAAGTGGAAAATATGTGAAAACTCTCCTCTTCATATACCATATACCTATACCAAATCTCATTTTGATACACCTGATGGTCTAGAAGTTATTACTTGTCTAATAGATTCGTTGACACCCGGTATACCCTGTTAAATAAAAAACCTCATTTTCAGATTCACCCTGTATAAAAATATCTTTGGTCTGTTAGGTAGTGTGAACATTATTGCTAATTACGGTACAAACATATTAAAATTCGTTTCTCAAACTAAGATACATTGTGGATTACATTTTGTTACATTTCTTAAGCAGCCAACATGGCTGAATGCATACTGTAGTGTTGGAGAACACTTCAACACGGCTCTGGCGATGATCCATGTCACGAATTCAACGGTAACACAAAATTCGTCATTAAAGTGTGATAGTTTTATACGATGGAGGTTTCAGGTATGTATTTTCAGTATTGGTCATTTTTCAAATTTGCACCATACCAATTTTATGGATCTTTGCTGATGAAAAAAGTCTCGTCTTCAGTGAACATGTCGCACTGCTGCAATAATAGCGCTCACATCATCGTCCAACCGCGACATGATTTCTGAAGACGAGTGTTCATCACATTGGCAATAATAATAATAATTATTGATTGCTAATATCTAGAAACGCAATGAATGTTGGAGAGTCAACTTTTTGAACAGGAGTTTGTTTATATTCGATATGCATGAACGGACTCAATATAACTTTTTTTGACCTACCTTGGGCTTGACCTTGTCTATTTCAGTCGGTAACAGTTGATACGGAAGATGAGTTTTTATGAATCTTGGAGAAGGCAGAGATTTGACATACTCCACTGAATTCGTAAACAAACTTTTAAATTGTTCCGTATACTCATACAGCACGACAGACATTCTGTAAAAAAAGAGAATAATGAGTTTAGGAATAAAAGTATAACCTGACAATTTCGTTCATGGACGTGGCTAAAAAAATTCAATTTTCATTCATCAATACAAGAACTGTGGTGGAGTTGAAAAATTTTCATTCGAATTTTCCATTCTGGAGTTCAGCAATGCTTGATGAAACTCCAATTTCACCTATAATTTTGAAAAACAAGCATAATTCTCCTATTAAGGATCTTTCATGTGAAAAAAAGTTGTTCAGATTAAACATCTATAACAAATTATAAAACCTCGAACAAGTATAAATGATTTTTCAATGTTCCTAGCAGCTGAAGTAACAGATACTTGAAAGAAATTTGGACATAAATGTCGATTTTGAATTTTTCGACGGATCTGTTACTCAAGAACTACTATTTTGAAAAATCGAAAAATCATAGTCGGCATAAGTATAAATTTCAAGAAAACCAATACTGACATATGAGTTGAATATAAATTATGTACTGAAATTTTCAGATTTATTATGTAGGTATATGTGTTGTCTCTCATCATATATAGAGGCCAACAAAAATTCTGAAAGAACATAACAATTGAATGTATTTATTCACAGTACACTGTTTTACCACGAACCAAACCGATGTTTTAAACGCCGCGACACGTGTTTCGCTAAGTATGTCAGCATCTTTAGGAGAAGATTAAAACTGTTTTTTACCTACCATGTTTTGAAGCAAAATATTGATGGTGCAATGAAACCATGAATTAAATAATAATTATTGTAGGTACCCTACTAAGGAAGAAGAACTACCATTTTTTACAGTCATGAGTTATAGGAGTTAGTCAGCAAAATTTTAAAATCGATTTATCTTGAGAACGGTGAATGCTATAGAAACAGAACATGGAGTATATATTCTCAAGTAAAAATGTTAAGACCTTCACATATCATGTCAAATTTGATTATTATCACAAAGAGTTTTCAAAATATTTTCAAAAAACCTTCAACTCATGCTCGCCTTTAAATGACTATATAATCACCTAAGGGGCAATTTCTGGATCCATGTTCATATAAACTCTTTTACTAAGTATTTTTTTCGTAGAATCTGCCATTAAGAATCATTCTATGTAAGTTCGGGATACCATGTGAAGTTTTACTGAGTTAATTCACAACTTATTCGAAATAATCTATCATATCCGAGCGTTGGAAAGAATATTTGATGAGTATTCAAATTACAACAATAGCTGATCTGTTCAATGAATTCTTGGGATAATGGAATCAAGGCCATTTGAAAAAGTCTTACTCAATTAGAGGAGCTCTGATCTGTTGCAATGTAGACTGAGCTTTTTCGAAATCTAAATCATTTCCTATCAACCAAATTATTTCCTGGCACCATGTTGAACCTGAAAAAGGATTACATTATTCATCGACGAATAAAAAAATGTAAATTCCAAAATTTGTATTCAGGGTGTTCCTAAATGTCAAGTATTTAACTGAAATAGTGCCATTATTTCAGATTAATGGAGTACTCATCCTAGCATTTACATCAAAATTCGAATGCTAGTCTCGTTGTTCGTTTTTTTTTTCTTTGAAAACGGTGCGTCGTATCAGATTTCAACGGAAGGTTTCAATCCTTGTACAACATTTAATGGCCTTGAATCGTATTCTATGGAATTTTAAAATTTTATCCTAGCGGTGTCACTGGGAATTCGAATGTTATTCCTATTTCATTTGCCCACAGGGTCTCACCAATTTTTTATAATATATATTCGAATTTTGTTCAGCAGAGTTACAGTAATTGAATAAATTTTCTTTTCGACATATACATAGTCAAAAAAACTTTTGCTATCGAAATAAGCCGAAGAATTGCCTTCTTCAGATTGTAAATGACATTTGCTCTACATAATCAGTACATAGTCGTCCTTAGCACGAAAAAAGTTATAATTGAGATGAGTCGAACTCACAGCATATTACAATTTCACAAATATCTTTATAAATCTCCATCCTTCATATTTTTCATTCAGACTAGATATGTAACTCCAATATCACACTCTGGCGCTATTCGAGTACTACCTTGGTAAAAAAAGAAATTATGGAAGTCTGGGTATTTATTTGCGTCAAATAGTGGAGTTACTATAATCGGCGTCGTCTTCGTCGTCGACGTTGTCTCTATTCATGTTATCACATTCTTGGCCAGCACGAAATCTGCAGAGGGCTAAACAATTTGAAGAACAATACGTGCAGAAATAAAAAAAATCAAATCTCCGTAACATTGAATGAAACTTTTTTGTAGCTAAAATAGACACAATTTTCAAGATTCATTTGAACAACTATCAGACATCTACTGGACCAAATAGATTTGATCCATCAGGTTTTCCAGTGGCGTATCCAGGGGATACCTTCTCTGGTGAAAATTATAGGGATTTCATTTCGTGCGCTCCAAACGTTAAAACAAAATATCTTGAACCACTAATATTTGATATTTGAAGTAGGGTCCTCAAATATAATTATATTGTCTAATTTATTATAACCAAACATAACAGAATATGCTTTGATTCTGATGAGGATCCTTCACAGTGTGTTCGAAACCCTGGTTCAACAAAAATTATTCTAGAGAAGTTGCCTTGAAACAAACAGCCTACCATCGCTGGCGTTAAAACCCTAACCTCGTGACTAAAGCAGAATAATATGTTGTTTTGTCGGAGATAACCACTCGCCCTATCCAGAGCTTTGCAGATGATGGTACTCTCTATACCGCGTTCTCTTTCCATTTCTTTCCAGGAAACTAAGACCTCACGACGAATGCAGGTCAACAATGTCAATGAAGATCTTGAAGACATTACAGCCTGACGAACCAACAACCTAGTTGAATTCAACGCCAACAAATCTCTTGCTTGTATCTTCTCTGGAAAGGCGGAACTCAGCATGCTTGTAGAAATGGCTGATACCACGATTCCTACTAAGCCCACTATATCTATGCTCGTTATTTCCATCTTTCATGGGAAAAGCATATGAGATCCTCCGCGAAAACTGCACAAACACTCTGATTTTTATTCCGTGCGAAAGTCTACTTCACACCTCAACAAACGTACGCTGATACTTATAGCTTTCATCCAGAGAAGAGCCATTCGCCTGGTGGGTGATGCCACACTCGCTAGATCTTCAACATCATTAGAACACCGTATAGAAAAGTGGGCGACCTCTCAATTTTCCATAGATGCTCCCACGGGGAATGTTTTGCAGAAATCTCTGCTATCATTCCATCACTAGTGTTGAATACTTGATATTGAACTTCATTTTCTATTTGCAAACCACAATAAATATGTTGAGAACAAAAGCTTGAACATCATACTAATAATGTCATGGAAAAGAGAAACGAAAGATCGCCTAAAATTTCATATTAGACTCGATACACAATGCTCGTGTGCTCCCTGGAAACAAAAATACTATAATGGTTCGTGTTCATAGTATTGAAGGTAAGTAGGAAGTCGTCTGGTTCTTGGAGGTCGTGGGCTCAAAGATGAAGGTCGTAGGCTCGAAGATAGCTTGGGCATATCTACAGGCTCTGGAGTGTCCTCATTCTCATTCAGCAGCTCTTCAGCTGGTTCTCCCTCTCAGTCTCAGTTACCTTGGCGTAGTTCTGTATTTGACTCATCACTATTTCTGCCAATACAGGGAATTGGTGCCCTTATCATTAATCTTATCAGTTAATCAGTATGTCTACGCACTGTTCGACCATCTGGTAACTACACTTTATAGCTAACAGGTCCAGTGGCCTCGACAACTGTTGCAGGAATCCATTTATTATCGCCTATTGCATAAGAACGAGCGCATACAGACTGGTTCTCAAGAAACTAATTCTCTGGTGGACCGAGTGTCCTTATTGTAGGATTTTGCTTGCTTTGTACACAATTCACTATCAAAATCTGGATGATACCTTTCGAGGGCTGTCACGAGTTTCTACCCATCGAAATGTTTGCTGGGGACTTTCCTGTTTCACCGTGAGGAGTAATATGTTGGGCAAAATGGTGTCTAGCTAGCTTCAGATATGGCGCTACCAAAGCCTGTCAGATTTGATTATCTTTCAGAAATTGCCTGAACTCTGCAGATGTGTATGCACTTCCATTATCGGACACTATTACATCCGGCAGTCTTTGTGTGGCAGATAAATCCCTCATAACTTGGATCGTAGCTTGGGAAGTCATTTTGCAAAAGAATAGACGATTATGAGGTAACACAGGCCGTTGATAGGACCAGCAAAGCCAACGGCTCCATATGGTGCTCGTGCCCACTGCTGAGGGTGTGTGTATGTGTTCACGGCTAATATCCTTATCCAGTTTCGGCCACTACACATATGATCTGCCTATATAGCGCGTTCATCCTAACTATCCATGAATGGGCTTGTAGTTGTTGAAAATGCCTAAGAGGGGTTTATGGTCCGATCGAATAATATTATTCCGCCCTTAAATGCGATCATGTAATTTGCTCACTCAAACTATGATTGCAAGTGCCTAACAATCGATTTGTGCAAAATAATAATAATAATAAATAATAATAATACTTTATTTCCACTTCGACAAATAACATTGTATGGGAATTGTCAATATGATATAAGATATAAATCAGTAGTAGAAAATGATGAAAGAGCTAGATAGAGAAGAGAAAATAGTGATAGAATAGAATCGATAATACCTAAAACTAATCTTATTATAAAAATTCTGAAATTGTATAAAAACATGCTTCCAATAAATAGTGTTTCAACATCTTTTTGAACATAATGATGTGTTTCACATACCTCAAATCTTCAGGAAGTTTATTGAATACTTTAGGTCCAATGCAGTCCGGGGTAGATGAACTCACTTTACACCTTGCTAACGACAAATGAAAGTGATTCTTAATTCTTGTGTTATGGTTATGTAGATTCTGATTCATTGTGAAAGTTGATTTATTTTTGAAAACATATACACATAATTCAAAGATATAAAGAGATGTCAATGTCAAAACTTTATATTCCTTGAAGAGTCTTCAACATGATTCTCTAGATGAAACAATTGCTATGCACCGTATTATTCGCTTCTGGGCAATGAACACTTCCATTGTAGCAGTTGATCCACCCCAGAAACTAACACCATACCTCAATCTAGATTCTACTTGAGCAAAATATATGTTTAGTAATTGATCCTTACTGAAAACTGATCGGAGATTGATGAAAAGGAACTTCAGAGAGTTGAGCTTAGAAGTTAATTGCTGACAATGAACCTTCCAGTTAAGGAACTCATCCAGAAAAATACCCAAGAATCTCACACTCTGATTAGTGTTCCTTAATGTCATGCTATCAACAGTGAAACTAATACCTTCTATTTTGTTTTGAATATTGTGGATACGAAGAATCTCTGTCTTGTCGACATTAAAAAATAAATCATGGTTGTTGAGGAAATCTGATACCTGACTTACTGAGCCAGCACATTTATTTTCTAAGATTTTGGAATCACGCGCAGAGATCACAAATGAAAAATCATCGGCGTATGCAGTATAATGACTTTCTTTTATAACACTGTCTATACTATTAACATATAAAATGAACAGAACGGGACCCAATACAGAGCCCTGTGGTACTCCCATGTTTATGCTCAACGGCTCAGAATTAACTCTACACGTTTCATGTTCATCATTCACTTGTAAGGAAACAAATTGTTCTCGATTGTGAAGAAATGACGACAACCAATTAAGACATACGCCTCTTATTCCATACATTTCTAATTTCGACCTCAGTTTTTGATGGTTGACGCAGTCGAAAGCTCGACTAAGATCACAAAGAATTACCGCTGGACATTCACCTGAATCAACGTATTCTATGGTTTTGTTCAGTAATGAGAACATAGCTGTGTTCGTAGATTTTTCAGAACGAAATCCATGCTGCCTATTACTCAAGACAGAATGTTTATCAAGAAACGAATTAAGACGTTCCAAAAAGGCATATTCGAAAACTTTCGAGAGTCCACAAGGGACTGTTACAGGACGATAATTTTCCATAAGGGTTGTGTCTTTTTTTTTGAAAATAGGAGTGACTTTACCAGTTTTTAACTTGTTTGGAAAATCACCTTTCACAAATGACATATTTACCAGATGTGTTAATGGTAATATTATCAAAGGAAGAACTCTTCTCAATATAAACATCGGTATTTCATCTGGACCAGACGATTTTTTATTCTTTAGTTTGTTTTTTAACAATGAGAGTAATTCATGTTCCGTAAATGGGTTCAAAAACATTGTGTAAGGGTTGAAATCCTTTTCATTATCAAATACCCCATTATTACTTGGAGGTATCTGTTCAACCAATTCGATAGGAGCCTTAACGAAAAAATCATTGAAGTTGGAGGCAATAGTTACCGGATCTTCTATCAG